GTAGTATTTCTTCCAAACCGTATTAAACCGAACAGAAATCGATAAAAACAAAACAAAACTGAACCAAACTAAAGAAATTCAATAAACCTTAATATATTATTAAAAAATAACAAATCCAAACCGATTGAAGTGAACCGAACCAAACCAAAAAATAGTATGATTTTTGTTTGGTACTAATTCTCTTAACCCATTCCAAACCGAACCGAAACCGATTAAAACTGAACCTAAAACCGATATGCCCACCCCTAGTTAATTTGTTGGATATCTTACAAGTATAATAACACGAAGTAACTATTTAGGGGTTTTTTTCTATTGAATCCTGTTTGGATTAAGAAGTCTTTCTAGATCAAGATTTGTCTGTACTAAGTGATATTTGTATATGAGATTGTTTATTTTATGTATTGACAACAGAAAAACGGTCTATGGGTCATCCGAAAACAGTATCTCTGTGCTTTAGTACAGGAGTAAGATTACGTACATTCGACCCCCCCTTACCCCACCGTAGGTGAGAGACTTTGCGGCACTGGGGTAAATGAAAATGATGACAACAGAAAAACGGTATGAATTGAGTAAATAAGCAATTTATTCTTCTTCTTCTTGGGATAAATATGAATGAGAAATTTCATTTATTATCATAAACCTATTCCACAATTGATTTAAAAATGTTGACAAAAAAGACGTCTTCATGAGAAGTACTAATATTTTCTTGCTTAATGATTAAGTTGTTTTTTTATTGATTTATAAAGTTGTGCTTTTAATTAAGTCGTAAATAAACACAATTAAATGGCTAACTGACTAAGTTATTATTGTCATTAAGTTCATTAAATTGAAAACGAACATCCCTTACCTTGAATGTACATATCTCTTGTGCTCTTGTGAGTGGCGGAGACAGAAAAATGGCTCAATGTGATCGAAACTCAACCTATATACATAATGAAAATGGTGGATCATTTTTAAACAATGTCCGAGTTGAATATTTCATATTCAGTTTAGATAAATATGCACTCGTAGCAATAAGATAGATAGTCTTTGCTATGTTTCTGAGCCGTGTCACATAAGTATTGAATGAATTATACTCTGTTTTTAAAATTTGGGAAAATTATATATAGCATGCATCAAATTTTGCTGATTTTACGTTTAGATAATGCTGATTTTCCAGAAGTCATAACTTTTTACACGTCACGAATTACGAATGTCATAATATAACAAATCGAAGATATTTCAGAGCTCTATACTCAAACTTTCAGCGGGATCAGCTGACCCCTGACCCTCCTTGGCTCCGCCCCTGGATCTTGTCCTTGACTCCTTGGGTTTAATTAGGTCACTTTTAACTTGGGAAAATAAAGGTAGTAGTCCATAGTTTTTATAGTGAGGTAAAAAGTGTCAATGTATCTAAACATTTATTTTTCATATATAAGTTATCTAATTATATCCTAAAGATGAAAAAGTGAAGACAAAATGAATACATTCAAATCGAATAACTCAAATTGTTTGGTAATAACAATATACTCAAATCTAACCAAAAATGCTTTGATTGATTTACGATTTAAAATCAAATAAAAAAATCATTCGATTTGAGTATATTGTTATCAAATGATTTACTTTAGTGACTCAATGTAAATTAAAGTACCAACTTTCAATTTGGTTGAATTCAGATAGCCAATAGGATTCATAACTGATCATCCCTTTTCTTTTCTTAATCTCCTACGATAAAAAAACGAAATTCACAAAAATAATCTCTATTTTTAAGGATTCTACAATAATAATTCATAAAAATAATCTGAATCATCAATATTGTTCACATGAATAAATTGAGGTACGGTGAATTCAAACTAATGCGCATTTAATACTCCCAACTCCTACCTCCACTTTCCCCTACACTACTTTTCATCTCGAGTGACACTACTATCTTCCAATCCACAGTGATAACCACATATCACGGAAATGACGTTGAAAACGAGTTTTAGTTTCAAATCACCCCGAGAAAAAAAAAGTGGGGTAGAGAAAAGTGGGAGTAGGGATTGAAAGTATTAAACGAATATTAGGTTGAATTCACCCCAATTGTGAGTATGAACACTCTCAGTAGAGATTATTATTGTAGAATCTCTAAAAGTAGGGATTATTTTTATAGACCAATATCACATTGGCTAAATCTGTTATCAATTAATGAAATTTTGAATGAAACGGTTGAGTTGGGTGAATATGTTGAATTGTAAAAGATTAAACAAAGTACATACTTTAAATATATTATTGATAAAATAAAGAAAAAATTATATAAAAAGATAGTGAAATAGCCTTATTCGGCCATGTCAAAAGAAATCAACTCCAGTTTTACTGTTGGAAAAATGTGTTAAAAATTGCATTAAATGGTGATTTTGGAGCAATTATTTGAGTGGGGTCCACTTCCGATTTGGATCGGGTCAAAGTGGTTTTAGATTGTCCTTGTTAAAGGCTACAATTCGATATATGGTACGCTCAAAACGGGTAACGGGTGAATGAGAAATTGATTCTCGAAGTTCACTCGTTGAAATGGAAAAACTGGGAAAATGATGGATTTCTAGTGTATTTTATCTCACACCGGAAAACTCAAGGGATTTTCACCCCCTTATAAAGGGAAGCCTCTTTTAAGGAGTTAAGATTCCTAAAAGTAAAGGCTCTCTCTTACGCGCAGGGGGTGCCGATCAAATCCCGAAACAGAGAAGAAAAACCGTGACTCGTGTGCGCGGGCGATCTGCGGACACGAATGTCGTCCGAAAACCTATCATTCAAAGATACGGTCTCAGTTTTCTGGACCAGAAGACGTGAGCGTCTCTGGTGGCTTGTGTCTTCTCAACAGAAGGCCAGAGATGACCACAACCGCAAAGTTTTAAGGGACGGAGGTAGTATTATCATCTTTCATATGACATCAATATTGTATATATAAGGATTAAAAATTTATTAAACACTTAAAAAAATCTATTTTTTAAAGGCCTATACTTTTTTTATTTGCACTCCAATTGTTTTAAAAAATATATCAAAATTCATAAATGTTTATTACATTTCATATGGCACTAATATTTCATAGGTAAAAATAAAAAAAATAATTCAACACATTAAAAAAATATTTTTCTTAGTGTTATACCTTTTTTTGTACTCCGATTGTCTTTATATTTCATGTGGCACTAATATTTCATACTCCGTATATAAAACAAATACATAATTTAGCACCTAAAAAAACTAAATTTCTAAAGTGATGTAACGTTTTTTATTTGTAGTCTTATTGTTAAAAATAGTATATCAAAACACATAACTTTAGGGGTGAGCATCGGACGATACGAGACGGTTATTTCAAAAAGTTTTTCACGTCCCAAAGTACGATTCTTTGGGAAATCAAAGAACTGTTATCATTCTAGAACGTGTCTTATTCCGTACCATTTTTCAGTACGGGTCGGTATGATTCTTCAGTACTCCGTATTATTTTTCCGCTTCGCTCGGTTCAAGTATAGTTCGAGAAGGTTCTCAGTACGATACAGAAAATCTCAGATCCATACTCAGCCATACATAATTTTTTTATTACATTGCATAAGAAACCAATATTGCATGTTAACAAGTTTTTTAACGGATGAGGTTTCATATGAGAAAGCTTTAAAAAATTGCAATTTTTAAAGAAAACTTGAAGTTTTTTAAAGTGTTAAATTATTACGGGTCATTGTAGTTATTACGTTCACAGGCGTAAGGGGGACAACCGGGAGGTAACCGGTTGGATGGGGGGATTGAAGTATTTAATTTGGTTGGTGGGTTGGATCGGAGCTTTTTTGGGTTTGGGGTGCCATATTTGCAACCTTAACAAGAATTTTTTGGGTTTTGGGTTACCTCACTTAAAAAAATTGCAATTCTTCTCACTTTGACTTGGGACGGAGATGTGAAACCTTATTACGTCTAAAAAATTCTATCTTTAGGCGTTCCACTAACTAGAGACATTATTTTGTGGAGTAGCATTGTGGGAAATAATTTTAACTCAACAACAATTAAGTAAATATTTTGTTATTCAACATTATTTCAGAAAAAAAAATCCTTATTTTGATTAGCCGAAAATAAGGTCACCGAAGAGACTCTAAATTTTAAATAACTTTCATAATTAACAACAATATTGAGTTATTCTTCTTTTCATATTGACTTTCAAAATGTAAATAACTTATGTGGTTGAAACTAGATATTGTACTAGATGTGAATGTACTCTCATTCTAGAACAATAGAGGTGGACTCGGGCCGGGCTTGGGCCCGGGCCTGCGGTTGTGGATAGGTGGGCCCAGGACCGGACCGGGTAGCCACCGGGTCCGGTCCGGGTCAGGGCCGGGCCTCGTTTTTTTTTTTTTGCTTACCTACCAATCCCTGACCCCCCCCACCCAACCCCCACCCCAAACCCCTCCAAAAAATGAAAAAACAAAAAAAAACAATTTGGCCCGAACCGGGCCCGGCCTCCTTTTTACCCACTCGAGCCCGTCCCGCTTTAGATAAATAACCGGGCCTTAGACCGGTTTTGGGCCCGAAGAACCGGGCCGGGCCGGTTCCCGGGCCTGGTGGCCCGAACCGAGTCCAAGCCTATTGAACAATATTTATTTCATCCCTTGTAATTTTATCATCTTTTCTTTTTTTTAGTTATTTTGAAAATCTTACGTCTTTGTCTTTTAATTTAATCAATTAACATCAATCATACACTTTCAGGTCAAACATGGCAAGTTAGCATGGCAAAGTTAGCAGTTGGGTGTTTGACATTTGTGCACTATAATTGATAGTAACCCATAAGTGCAATTCCAATCTTCTATTTGTACAGTTGTTGCCTTGTTCTCTTCTCTCTATTGGACTTTTCAACAATTTATAGAGGTGTTTGCTAAACGGTATGTTCCACAATTCTTGGCGTTTGGATTCACTCTAATCGAGCAACTATTTCTAGTAAGCCATTTGGAGTCGCTCTTGTTGAATAACTATTTCTATTGAAAAAAAGGACAGTTGAAAAGCTTTTTCAAGTTGAATAATCATAGTTGAATAACAATGCAATCTTTATCATTAAGATTTTTTAATCTCAAGTCTCAACCCCTAATAATGAAAAAGGGCTTACAAAGCTCTGTTAAATTTAGGCATGTCAATGGATTTGATCTAGGCATGACTGGTATGAGTCTACCATTAACTCCATTTACCTAAATCCGAACCCCGACCATATATAATGTCCATATATATTGTGGGAAAGAGTTTACTTATTCATCAGTCAACCATCTTAAACTCTATAAGTACGACCTTATAGAGTACGACCTTACATAAAATTGGAATGGGGAACTAGCTAATCTATAAAATTGTACCGTACGACCTTACATACAATATTGGACTCAAAAGTAGAATTGCCCACCTGACACGGACACAAATCACTGCCTAATCATGCACAACTCCATAGCGGCCCGGTACCCAGTGTACATAAAGAAGTAGTTCTTACTTGGGCATCCTACCGTTTTATTTCTTGATGATCTTAATTGTTTATTGATTTACAAGGACAACACATGATAACAGCCCAGCATATAAATGGGTGATCAGCAAAACCGACCTCGCACTGCAAATGGAGTTGGATCTACTTTCCCAGGATTCCCCAGGACCATATCAACTATCATTTCAGCAGTTCCTGAGGCCTATGTATATATTTTCAATGTATTAATCTCATCGGCAATTCACTCATTCTGTAATATACTGTTATAGCTGTTCACAGATCGCACATAAGGGTCAGTTTGGATGAAGGGGTGAGATAAGAAACTATCTTATGGCATTTCAATCACGAATTACTCGTAGCATTTCAATCATTTAGATAAAACTTTTCATACAAACTGACCTTAGAAAGAAGTAAATGCAAGAAATAATACCAGTGAAAGTCCTTCTCCTTCATGGCCAGCTGCCACAAAGAGGTTTGACAATCCAGGTACAGGGCCGATGACCGGCTTCCCGTCAGTACCTTGACAAGTTTTAACACAATCCCGATCAAACATTATGGTAGCAACATAATACATAATTCTTTAAAAAGCTGAAATGCCTTATTATATACTCATTTAAACTTACAGTAAGGTCTTAGTCCCACTCTCACTTCACTGTTTTGACGCAACTCTTCTAGAGATTCCTTTCTCAGCATTGGAAAGAACTCCCCAGCCTGCTCCCATATTCTTTTGATGATGGATTCATCCACCTCAATGTTGAAGCCAACTAGTTGACGGCTGCTACCTGCCCATAATTTTGGTTCATATAATCCAATATGTAAGGACAACACATTCTAAAGTAAACATAATGGAAACAGACTACAGCTTTGTTTGGTAGTCATGAATGTAATTCGTCTTGTTCTGCTTATCAACACAATAATCAAAATAAGTAACTTTTGACAGAGTTAGAGCCCGCTTGGTAGCCAAATAAGTATAGTTTTTACCATATTTTGTTAAAATGAATTTTATACAAAACGCTTTCTGATAAGAAAGTTAAACATAATCAGCCATATCAGCCGAAAAAATGAAAAGCCCTCACAAGACACTATTATTTAGGATTATATAGATGTTGCAAAATGATTTTCCTTTTTCAGCAGCTTGAGTCATTTCATATTTTCAGCCAAATAACCCTTGCCAATCGAGCCCTAATTTTCACTTCTCACCAACACAACAAGAAACTAGTGCTCTTGCTTAGATATGTGTAATGTGGATATATCTATTATCCATTTGTGTGGACTGTTTTCCAGTTTCTGTTTGGGAATTAAATATATACCGAGAATGAGACCGCCAGACATGTTCATGGTTGCTGTCATTGAGACGGATGTAGTTTGTACTGTATGAGCAGATACTGAATTAGGTGCAGATTTCAGGGATTCATGGTTGACATATCCTGCCTCCATAAGACCATGATTCAGCTTAAAGGGCTTAAAGTTATCTATCACAAGTAGGTGGCCCTGTTGATGTCCAGACAAATAAAGAACCTTAACATCATATATGCAGCATAATAAAATAATAGCCACCACCAATCATATCAGCCCCTTAATGGAAGTATGTTGGGATATATGGAACGATACTAATAGTGCCAATTTAATTGTCTAAAACTAGGTAACAATTTAAAAGAATGTGAAAATGTGAAAAAGTACTTTATTATTTAATGCTACCTTTGTTCTTAGTTAAGTGCAACAAGTTGAATTTTACACTACTCACATGTTCTACTTTGACTACGCTGTATTTATAAATGTATTAACAAAATATATTTTTTAAAATATTGTTAATTTTGTCCAATTAAAAATTTTCAAAATCTGATTTTTTTAATTTTTTTTACTAATAGAGAATTATATATATTAATGGTCAAAGTTGTGCATTGGCAAACGTAAAAAGTGAACCGTTGCACTTAGTTAAGAACGGAGGTTGTATTAGACAGTCAATATGCATATTACATAAGTATATCAAGATCATGGGTATGTATGAAGATTACACTACAAGTATCCATACTAGTGTAAGGAAGACTGCAGAATTCCTTATTACTATCGAAGCGCACCAAGGATTGACTCTAAATACTTTCTTATTTGGTATAATCATGGATGAACTTACAAAGTTAATTCAAAAAGATATATTGTGGTGGTGCATGATGTTTATTGATGATATGATGTTTGTTGATGAAACACAATCTAGTATTATAGCAAAGTTAGAAGTATGGTAACAAACATTGGAGAACAAGAGTTTCAAACTGAGTTGAAGACTGAGTATATAGAATGAAAAATTGGTAGAGGTAGAAGCAGGGATAATAGTGGAATTACCTTAAACGGTAGGGAGATACCTGTCAGTGATATGTTCCGTTATCTGGGCTCCATAATTTAGAAGGACGGTGAACTAGATGAAGATGTATCTCATAGTCATAATAGGGTAGGTGAAATGGAAGAGTTCATCAGGGTTTCCATGTGTTCCAGATATCCTACCTAGACTAAAGGGCAAGTTCTATGGGACAACAATTAGGTATGCATTACTTAATGGCATAGAGTGTTGGACGGTGAAACAATATCACATTCAAAAGATAAGTATGACTGAGTTGCACATTGCATTGGATGTGTGGACATACTAGAAAAGACCACTTAAGGAATGATACAATCAGACAAAAGGTGGGGGTGGGGGTAGCCACCTATTGAAAATAAGATGTGAGAGTCTCAATTGCGGTTGTTTGGCCATATTCATAGAAGACCGAGTGATGCATCAGTGAGACGAGTTGAGAGGTGAGGAGAAGAGGCAGGGAAGAGGGAGAGGAAGATGCAAACATATGTGGATTAAAGGGTGGATTGAAGGAGTGAGGATTCATATGTTTTTTCTAGGATTGGATGAGAGTGAATTTGGAGATGAGCAAAGTAGAGGAAGAATATTTGAGGAGAATTGATCTCTTTTTGTCTTTTTATCTTTCTTAAGGTTCTTTATCTTTCCTACTTCTTATCTTATACTCCCTCCATCCCGCTAAGATTGTTTCATCTTTCCTTTTCGATCCGTCCCACTAAGATTGTCTCATACTGAATTTGGTAAAGTTTGTATGGTTATAAATCATTCTTAGTTTATACTTACTTTATCAATTCAATATCAACCACATAAATCCACTTTTCTTAAAAATTGCACACTCCTCATGTCCCAATGTTAGTGAAATGGAGGTAGTATTTTGTTTTATCCTTTTTATCTTTTATTTTATCTTTTCATCATCATTACCCCAGTGCCGCAAAGGCTCCCACCTACGGTGGGGTAAGGGGGTCGGATGTACGCAGTCTTACCCCTGTATTAAAGCACAGAGAGATTGTTTCCGAATGACCCAAAGTGAAAATCGCGTCGAAAAATAAATGGACTGACTGTTGCTTCACGATAAAGAAGCGCAGACAATTTAGTGAGCCATTTTGCTTTATTCCATCATATTCTCAAGCCAAAAAATAGTGAATCTTTGGCTCCATTGCAAATGATGGAAATTTTATTTTATCTTTTAAGCTTTTTTTATCTTATCGTGTTTGTTTATCTTTATGTTTATTACCATTCTTATCCTTTTTAGCTCTGATTTCATGTGTTGATTCATGTTAGCCGACTCCAAACTCTTTTGGGACTAAGGCTTAAATGTTATTGTTATTGTTGTATAAAGTCAATATGCACACAATGGAACATGGCCCTAACATACACTAGAAAAATGATACTCTCTGTTTCACAATTTAGTGAGTCATTTTGCTTTATTCCATCATATTCTCAAGCCAAAAAATAGTGAATCTTTGGCTCCATTGCAAATGATGGAAATTTTATTTTATCTTTTAAGCTTTTTTTATCTTATCGTGTTTGTTTATCTTTATGTTTATTACCATTCTTATCCTTTTTAGCTCTGATTTCATGTGTTGATTCATGTTAGCCGACTCCAAACTCTTTTGGGACTAAGGCTTAAATGTTATTGTTATTGTTGTATAAAGTCAATATGCACACAATGGAACATGGCCCTAACATACACTAGAAAAATGATACTCTCTGTTTCACAATGGGTGTTGTTTTATAGACTGTCCATTTATAAAAGGAATATCAATTTATCATATAAGGGTAGTTTAGGTATGAGTATAAAAATCTGTGTACTTTAACTTAAAACTGAAAATTTGTGAAAGGGGGGAGAGTAGTTAAAATGTGTTAGGTTGACATCAGAATAGCTAATTCTCTTTTCTAGAGCACATTGCTTTTCATCAAAATAAATCTGGAGTTATTTGTAGTTGGTACACAATATATAGTACCCAAGAGCAAACAAGTTTGCTCTAAAACTAATTTTTCTGTATAAGACTATAAGCCATAATCTATCTTTTTATATGAGATTGGAGGGATGTTTATGCTGTTAAATTGGGGGATTGGTTACTTTGAGCACATGAACTGAAATGGGAAGGAAGTGGATATGGAGTACTATCAGACTCGGGCATGTCCATTAGTATAGGATATTACCTTCCGAGGCTTGATAGGAAGATCCAATTCAATATCATGATGCTTAATAAGTTCATGCATCAAAGAACCACTCCAACAACCAGCTGCAAGTATAACAGCCTTCTTACTATGCAAAATGTTCTTGGATGTCTGAACTGCTTCAACTTCTCCATGATTGCCTGATCTTAATTTTTTTTAACAATCAACACAGTAATTAATATATGGGGATCTTAAATAAGACATTAACTTTTAATGAAGAGCCATATTTGCAACCTTAACAAGGAAGTAGCAGGCTCGTGATAGAACTCTGCATATCGACCTTCTGAGGCATATTGCCTATTCCCCTGCACATTGAATATCATCTAAATGGATTATATAAATGAAATATCCCCTCCACTCCATAAAAAGTTTTCAGTTTCAACGGCTTTTCCAAAATTTAAAGTCCAAGTTTGTCAAACAGGACACATTTTTTTAGATGGAGGAGAAACATGCTTTCAATATATTTGAAAATTGCTTAAGAGGTCAATACGCTGGTTCTAATGTGAAAGATGTGAATAAAATGCACCTTCTCAATAAATGCCACAGCACGCCGAGCATCCAACTGGCAATCATCAGGTGCATAAGCTGCTCCTCCTTCCTTTTCAAGCACAAGTGCAGGTTCTTCAGAGAGCAAATCACTGCTCGTCAAAAATTCTGCCCTCGTACCAGCATCACACAGTTTCTTCACCTTTCTTCTGAGAATAGAGGATTCCTCAGATGTTCTACCAACTAACAAGCTTCCTAATGATAAGAACACCTCTTGGTTTTATGTGGTGGCTATAATTCGGAAAGGTTAAATACAGTGGTAATAATACATATCAAGACAACAAAGTACCTGTCTTCTTCCATCCAATCATCTCTGAAGGATCCATTCCTTCAAATTCAACGTTCTTGGCAAGGTCCTCCCATAGTTGATGGCTTCTTTCTGCCAGTTCCCATTTATCAGTATCTGGTGATTTGTGCACTTTCCACAGGTAGCCTTGCCCTAGAACCAGCTCAAAGTCCAAATATATAATGTAAACGATCATACAACAACCATACTCCAGGAAATGAAAGAGAAGATGCATAAGATGAATCATAAAGCGGTCCATGGAGGTTCATTTTGTTCAGCACTTAAACAGGACATGGAAGTAATACTGTAATTGTTTTATTTTAATTTTTTTTTGGATGAATGCACATTAAGGATGTTTTTACTTGAATTGTAATTTGCTGGTCTGGTCTGATCTGATCTGGTCTGAACTGGTCTGGTTTTTTTGTATTTTTATAACTATACAAGTCTGGTCTGGTCTGGTTTCTTTGTATTTTTATAACTATCCAAGTCTAGTCTGGTCTGGGACGAATTACAGTCCAAGTAAAAACATCCTAACTGGAAAGATAACAACAATGGCCATATTCAGGGAAATGTGCTATGTCTGAGATGTTTTAAATACTCCATATGTATGGAGGATTTGTTTTTATCATGCTAACTCCAAAATTCAAAATTTGAGGGCTCTGTGTTCCCAACAGGTAAACTAGCCTTAGAGCCAGCGTCCAGATAAAATGCCAAAGAGAATAGATAGGAGAAAATTCCTTAAATAGGACTAAAATATAGGCAAAGTGCACAAATAGGACATCATTGTTTTCTTCCTAATTTATTACTCAATCAATTCTAATTGGAAAAGTTTTATACTTTTAATAGGGCCAAATAAGTCCTATTTTGAGAATAAAATATAGTTACTCCTATTACACTTTGTCTATGTTTTGAGCAATTTCTTAACAGATAAATAAATCCTTAACCAGTAAAAATCTACTGGTAGGCTGGTAGGTCAATGGTTATTTGGTCCTAGTCGCTTCTCACTAATAAAGAACAAGAGAGCTAAGAATCGCTAACATTGCACTTCTGCAGATGATGGAGTGCCAAACGGAAGTGAATTATCCAGCCATGGTTGCTGCTTAAGCAGCGCTTAACAGTATATTCAGAGACGGTTGATAGTCATGAAATAAGTAACTATGTTTACTGTCCCCACTGGAGTGGCGTATTAGCGTATATAATACCTGCCCCCGTAGCGCCGGAGCAAGGCACGGCAGCATCAATCACGGCAACGGAGAGATCCGACCCGAGAAGGAATTGGCGCGCTATTGACAACCCGATTATTCCGCTACCAATTATCACCACATCGAAGGAGCCCGACGAAGAGGTCTCGTTCAGTTCAGAAACGCGAAGCGGCGCGTATTCATATGGACGGGATTTTCTAACCGACGTCGAAAATGAAGGTGGTCCATAACCGGCAGGTTTGCGTCCACCCAGCCTTGAATGCCGCGGTAGAAGAGGTGGCCGGATGGTGTTAATCGGACGAGACAACTCAACTCTGTTTAGTACGAGACTCCTCATGTGGTGTAATATGCTTTGCTGAGGCCAAAAATGGTGAAGCAAGGAAGATGACGAGTGACAACGGTCATTAGTCAAAAATGATGTGCTTGCACTGTTTGTAGATTTCCATAATTCCATTCGTGTCAAATTCTATCCCGTTTTTTAAAAGAATATTAGGGAGTATTAAAATAAAACATATTTACATAAGTATAACTATTCATTACTACAATGTGGTGTTGTGGTAACTTAAACTCAAAATTTGAACATGAATTATTATGATTTCATTACTACTCTAGTCATTAGTCATATTTTTGTAAATCATCTTTATTTTGGTCATATTTATGTAATTATTTCAATTCTATAATAAGAATTGCATACCACTTCCTAACAAAAAAATTGAAATGACTAAAAATAGAGATATATTCATCAATATTTTCATAAATTAATTATATAGAAATAAAAAATAAGATGGCAATATTTGTTAAAACTATTAAGGGTGTACAAATATATTATTGGATTACAAATACATACATATGATTGTATGTGTTTGAGATTTCAAAACAAAATATTTGGAAACTCAAAGAATCTCAAATGGTATTAGGAGTCTAAAATGTTAAAGATGAATAATTATGTTCTCATACTGCCCAAAAAATCAGAGAGTTAATGACTCAAATATGACTAATTGCAAACTTTATTGCACGTATAGGACTGCTTACGGAAGTTAAGTTTCATAGGATCATTTTCAGAGCAGTTGGACAAAAATACCACCTTTTAATATTTTAAATTTTAAAAATGTAAAATTAAAAACTATTGAGCCCTAGCAGTAACACTACCACCGCCAGAGGCAAACCTCCCGCCGGCGCATCCTGACTTTGCCCTCGCCGGAGTCTCCGCCGCCTGTCACCGCCGTCGCCGGAGACGCCGCCGCCTGCCACTGCCCTCGCCGGCGAATGTGACGCCTGTCGCCTCCATCGCCGCATGCTGCTGCATCCTTGCCGACGCATCATCACCACCCATCGCCGCCCCTACCCCGCCGCTTACCACACCGGCGTCGTCCGTCGCCATCACCACCACCACACATTTCAGCCCCACTACTATCATGACATTTCAGGCGGAATAAAACTGACATGATGTTGGCAGATTTAGAGTTGAAGACTGGATCCACATCTGTCAGGCCATAACACAAGAGTTTCAGATCTGTCGAAGAGTTGGCAGATTCATGTTGGAATATTAACACAAAACTGCCATAAATTTGGCAAAAAATAAAAACATGAAGTAAATAACCAAATATTCAAACAACTAATTTTTTTAATGAAATAATTTTTTTAGCACAATCGGAAATTAGAAAAACGAAACTATTCACACAAAATCAGAAAAATGGATTTATAGAAAAGCATTTTTCCCATAATATGATGTTAATGTACACATTTCTGCCACAAATTTGGCCAAATACGAAGCAATCGTCCAAAATGTTGAAAATTAAAATTTGTTTTAAAACTCAAAAACTAGAAACCAGAAAATCAAAACAGAAGTTCGAAACTTGGAAAATTCAATTCAAAATCAAGAAAACAGAGGAAGATTGGTTAAAACAAAGGCATTTCTGCCATATTACGATTGTTAGTGTACATATTTTTGCCATAAACTTGGCACAATCTGAAACCATCATCCAAACTTTTGGAAAATCGGAACTTAAAAAAACTAAGAAATCGAAAATCAGAAAATACAAAATAGAATTCCTAAAAATTGACAAAATCAATGTCAAATTTCAGAAAAACATAAGAATAGGAGGAAGATCTGAAAAATCAATGTCTAAACTCATTAAAATAGAGGAATAGGAGAAGGAGGAATAGGAGAGGAAAGAAGAGTAGATCGGGGAAGAAGAAGGAGAGAAGAAGGAGAAGGAGAAGGAGAAGGAAAAGGAGAAGAAGAAGAGACAACCTGCGATGATGCGTGTTGAATCCAATAGTGACGAAGGCGGCGTGAGGCGATATGGTTGGTGGCGGCCGTGGCTGCGATGCGCAAGGAGAAGTTGCAGAGGGAGTTGTCGATCGATTTTTTCGGCAGGGAGGAAACCAAAGAGTCGATCGAATAGGTTTGTAAATGGAGAGATAAAAGGGATATTGGGTGCAAGGGTAAAATTGAGATGCAAATTTTAGTATGTTTAGGAATTAGGAATAGGAGTAAATTGGTCCTATTAAGGGAAGAAATCATACATGGTCCTATTTGAGGATTTCTTTACTCTTTTAGTCCTATATGGGACAATTACTAAAAATCAGATTCTTAATTACTTACATTGAAGAGAAATTAAATATTTAAATTAAAGAGTTTAAAATGAAAAGGATAGTAAAAAAAACGGATAATCATTACAAACCGAGCAAGTTGTTGGTAGGGTGACATCATGTTGATGTTATCCCTGATTATTTGTATTCATAACTTTTTATGAATACCAATTATATATTTTCAATTATATTTCAAATTACAAAAGCTACCAAAATTCATAATTTTTTATGATTTTTTGTATGACACTAATATTATTTATACAAAGTTTTAAAATATATCTAAAATTTCAACTGCATGAGTTTTTTTTGGCCCAAAAGAAAATGAAACACATTTTTTTAATATCCACAATAACCGAACTTTACATGAACTCATTCTATTTTTATTAATCAAAAAAGTAAAAAAATGAAATTCTTATTCTTTTAACATCAAAATGTGTATTTTAGTTTCATAATATTATTCAGGGAAAAATCAAAGAAAAAGGTTATTTATAATAATTTAATTAATGTTTTATTTAATTTATACATTGTTTTCACATTGACATAGTTCATATTTAATACGTCTATATATTTAATTTATAGACGCAGCACTGATGTGGATAGTCTACTGGGTGCAACTTAGGTACAAAAAAAGTACATCTATAAAATAAAACTCGTACTACCTAAATAGTAGATACAAAATTAGTACGTAGTACAAATTAAAAGTAGTGGTATAACCATTTTACAAATTAAAGAAATAGCTATGATATGAGAATCAAACCGGACCCCACGGATCAATCCCAAAATAGTGTACCCATGGAAAAATAATACAAATTTGTTGTGAAATGAAGAGGATGAAGAATAAACTTAAGTGATAGATATATTAATAAAAGTTCTGAATATATTCTTCTTTATCTCTGAATATTTTTTGAATTTCTAAGTGTCTTTACAAGGCATCACCAAACTCATATTTATACAGGTGGAGCTTGGTGATGAATCATCAAAGAATCATTCTAGATAATATGCTAGCAACATTAAATCTAGTCATCTGTCTATTACAAGGATGGAAATTGGATTAGTGTCCTGATGACAAGGATGAATAATTCACATTTGTCATTCTCAGGAATTTACAACACTCCCCCTTGAATGTTCATCCTTGAATAGTTATTTATTTTAAAAACTTATTGTGAAATTAAAGGGTAAAAATTACGACTTATAATGTCGTTGTATTTGGATGTACTGTCTCGTTAAAAATCTTATCAGGAAAAACCCAGTGGGATAAAAATCTGATGAAGAAAAAAGAGTGCAGTGCATTCAAATACTCCCCCTGAACTTAGGCTAAATTTTGAAGGCGACTCATGCCGATTTTCTGTACAAGTTCTATCAACTTCTTCGGGGGTAAAGATTTGGTGAAGAGATCGGCCGGATTTTCACTGGATCTTATTTGTTGAATGTTGATCGTCCGTTCTTTCTCCAGATCATGAGTAGAGAAGAATTTTGGTGATATGTGTTTTGTTCTGTCACCTTTGATGTAGCCTTCTTTAATCTGAGCTATGCACGCAGTGTTGTCTTCGTAGATCACAGTAGGTTGAATAGTAATAGGCTTCATACCGCATTCATTTTGGATGTGTTGAATCATAGATCGCAATTAATCATACACATTCTCTTCTGGTTTCATATAGTGCAATTAACTCAGAATGATTTGATGATGTAGCTGTCAATGTCTGCTTCATAGATCTCCATGAGATTGCGGTGTTACCATAAGTAAATACGTACCCGGTTTGTGATTTCGCCTTTTGCGGATCTGATAAGTATCCAGCGTCTGCATATCCGATTAAAGTGGCTTTTGCATCTTTGTGGTGGAATAGGCCGAGATCAACTGTACCACAGAGATAACGGAATATGTGCTTGATCCCGTTCCAATGACGCCTTGTTGGGCATGAGCTGTATCTAGCTAATAAATTTACAGAAAATGCAATATCTGGTCTAGTATTATTAGCTAAATACATTAAAGCTCCAATAGCACTCATATATGGTACTTCAGGACCGAGTATTTCTTCGTTGTCTTCTCGGGGACAGAATGGATCATCATGTATGTTGAGAGATCGAATGACCATTGGTGAAGTCAAAGGATGAGCTTTGTCCATATAGAATCTCTTCAAAACTTTCTCGGTGTAATTGGATTGATGGATGAAAATTTCATTCTTCAAATGCTCAATTTGAAGTCCGAGACAAAATTTGGTTCTCCCGAGATCTTTCATTTCAAATTCTTTCATAAGATATTTTGCAGTATTTTCAATTTCATCGGGAGTTCCAATAATGTTTAAGTCATCAACATATACTGCAATTATGACAAATCCCGAATTTGATCGCCGAATGAAAACACATGGACTAATCGGATCATTCTTGTATCCTTCTTTGAGAAGATATTCACTGAGACGATTATACCACATTCGTCCAGATTGTTTTAGTCCATACAATGACTTTTGTAGTTTAATGGAAAACATTTCTCGTGGTTTCGAGTTGTAAGTTTCAGGCATTTTAAACCCTTCGGGAACTTTCATATAAATGTCTGTATCGAGTGAACCGTATAAATATGCAGTCACTACATCCATTAGGCGCATTTGCAGCCTTTCAAAAACAGACATGCCAATGAGAAACCTTAATGTAGTTGCATCAACTACCGGAGAATATGTTTCTTCATAATCAATTCCCAGCATTTGAGAAAACCCTTGGGCAACAAGTCGGGCTTTATATCTTACAATTTCATTTTTCTCATCGCGTTTACGCACAAATACCCATTTAAAGCCCACCGGTTTTACGCCTTTTGGCGTAGGGACTATCGGTCCAAAAACATCACGCTTTTCAAGTGATTTTAATTCAGCCTGAATAGCTTCATTCCATTTTGGCCAATTGTGTCGTTTCCGACATTCTTCAATAGATGTTCGCTCATTGTCATTGTTTTCATTCATAACATTTGTGGCAACGGCATAGACAAATATCTCATTAATATCAATATCTTTTCGATTCCATTGTATTCCAGTAGAAACGTAATTCATTGAAATTTCATAATTATCAACGTTTCTATCATTATCTGGAATATCTTCCTCGTTTAAGGAAGTTGGATCATCATTTGAGATGTCTGTTTTATCAATATCATTTCCTATGCCAGTATTTTCAAATTGTTCCTTTTCTTGTTCAGAAGGATGAACTTCTTTGGCATCACAGATCAATTCCTGCCTTTTAATTTTTCTTGGTTTTATATCTTTTGATCCAAGTGGCCTGCCACGCTTTTTGCATATAGAAGAATCATTCACAAGAGATTTTTCAGAATTCTCTGCTGGGATTTCGATCCTGGCAGGGGCATTCATGGCAGGAATATGTGACTTTGTCACTTTCTTTGTATCTGTGAATGCATCAGGCAACTGATTTGCAACATTTTGTAAATGGATTATCTTTTGCACATCTTGCTCACATATATTTGATCTTGAATCAAGATGTGATAATCCTGTTGCATTCCATGTAATTTCTTTCGTACTTGGGTCTAATTTATTATTTTCTCCTCCTAAGGTTGGGAACACTGTCTCGTTGAAATGACAGTCTACAAACCGTGCTGTGAATAAGTCACCAGTCATCGGTTCGAGATATTTTATTATTGAGGGAGATTCAAATCCAACATAAATTCCCAACCTTCTTTGAGGACCCATTTTTGTACGATGAGGTGGAGCAATTGGAACATAAACAGCACAACCAAACATCTTAATGTGTGCTAAGTTTGGCTCTTATCCAGTTACTAATTGCATTGGGGAATATTCATGATATGCAGTTGGTCTAATCCGAATTAAATTTGCTGCATGTAAAATAGCATGTCCCCAAGCTGATGAAGGTAAATTACACTTCATTAATAATGGTCTAGCGATTAATTGTAATCGTTTAATCAAAGATTCAGCAAGACCATTTTGTGTATGGACATGAGCAACAGGGTGCTCTACATCAATCCCAATCGACATACAATAGTCGTTAAATGATTGGGATGTAAATTCTCCTGCATTATCAAGTCGGATTCCTTTTATAGAATGATCCGGAAAATGAGCTCTTAATCGTATGATTTGAGCAAGGAGTTTAGAAAATGCTAGATTTCTAGTTGATAACAGACTGACATGTGACCAACGTGTTGAAGCATCAATCAACACCATAAAATATCGAAATGGTCCACATGGTGGGGCTATCGGCCCACAAATATCGCCTTGAATCCTTTCTAAAAATGCAGGTGATTCAGTTGCAATTTTGTTCATAGAGGGTCTGATGATCATTTTGCCAAGAGAACGGGCCTTACAAGGAAAATCCCTTGATATTGGAACCCTTATATTCTTTAATGGATGTCCAAATGAGGTCTTAATGATTTTATGCATCATTATCTGGCCTGGGTGACCTAAACGGTCATGCCACAACATGAATGTTTTCTGATCATCTAACTTTGTGTTAGAAACCAAGTTTATTTCAAATGGACTAATATATGTGAAATATAGTCCTGAGGAATATGCTGGCATTTTTTCACAAATATATTTAGTGCCAGATTTAGTTGTTGTAAGACAAATATATTCCTTTTGGTTTTCATTCATGGTTTCTATGTGATAACCATTTTGACGCATATCTTTAAAGCTCAATAAATTTCTCCGCGATTTGCTGGAGTATAAAGCGTCATTTATAATAATTTTTGACCCGTTAGGGAGCATCACATATGCTTTCCCAGAGCCTTCAATGAGCTTCGCAACACCTGATATGGTATTGATTTTAGCCTCAACTAAAGTCATTTGAGAGAAATATATTTTATTTCTCAAAATGGTGTGCGTTGTGGCGCTTTCTATCAGACATAGTTCTTTATC